TTTTCCCTCCGCAAACTGAAGGGGCTTGAGAAATGGCTTGGTGGTTAAGAACACTGGCTGCCCTTTTTGAGGGTCTGAGGTTCAGTGCCTGGCACCCACATTGTGGTTCATTAACTATTTGTAACTTCAGTTCCAGTGGACCTGACCCCATCTTCTGGCCTCTGCTGACACCAGGTATGTGCATGCTGTGTATACATTTGTGTGGGCAAAAACACCCATACATGTAAAAGTAAAATATAAATTTAAGAAGAACCAACAAAAATGCAAAGACCAATCTATCAATAAACAAATCAAACAAGTCCTAGAAGGAAAATGTAAGATTTGGTGAATGTTTATTTGCAAAATTATGCAAGTTCACGTAAGAGATAGAAAAAGAAATGCTGCTCCTGATAACCCTTATGATTTCTAAGTAAAACAACAACAACAACAACAACAAAAACAGAAATAAAAAGTTATGGGCTATTCTCATTATGAGGATAGGTACACTCATCTTAGAAGGTATTCCACAAATTTCCTGATGAATAAATAGACCAAAACCATATCTGACTTGTTACATAATGCAGAGAGTATATCCCTTCCCCCTATCTCCTCCCCCTCCCTCTTACACACACCCACACACAAACACACACCATCCCTGCCTTCATGTGCAATGCAGTGGTGATGCAGGCCATCCAGCCTGGAGATCCACAGCTGCTAGAGGAGGACCATCGTCTGGAAGGCATGGTAAGGATACCACGGCACCATAAGGTTCACTCATACAAGCTCAGTGCCAGTCTCAGTCCTGCTTGTCAAAGGAATCCATTTCCTTATTTCCTCCACACTGAAGGAAGATTGTAAACTTCAATGTATCCAGAATTTCTGTTGAATATTTCAGAATCAGCTGCTTACCCCATCCCACCCCACCCCCAGATAGATCATGAGGATCCTCAGCTCCTCGAGTGAGGTAAGGAGCCTTGGGGTGTGTCATGCTTCAAAAAATTAAATCACAACAACCCAGGCTGTTTTCACAGACAGTGTAAAAGGGCTCCAAATTTCGTGAAAAAAAAAAACCAAACAAACAAACGAAAAACAAACAAAACAACAGATGGGAGATGGGAAAGTTCCTTGCTGGACCTGTTTTTGATAGAACAACTTTCTGACTTTACTAATCTGTGGAGAGTTTGGCCGAGTGCAGATGTGTTTGGATTTGAGATCTTTTGTTTTTCTTTCTAGTCTTTGAAAGTTTCAATTAAGTATATAATGAATGAAGTCTATTTTACTCTTATTACCTTGTCTACTCCCCCAACCTTTTACTAAAATTCTTCTTTCTCCCCTCCCTGCTTTTATGTGCAGGTTTTGCATTTGTGACTCTTGAGTTTACGGCCACCTGCATGAGCATGGGTGGAAGGTTATTTACCTGAGCATGGGCAGTTTGCTGATGATGATATAACTGCAGAAAGTAACACACCTTCTCCCAGCCATCAACTTCCAATATTCCCTCAGAGAGCAGGATACCCTCGGGAGCCTTTCCCTCATCCATGATGAAACTTTGATGAATGGGTGCAATCCTGTGCAGGTCTTCTGCAGGTTACCACAACATCAATGAGGTCATGGATGTGTGGCCAATGCTGTTCTGTAGAGGACTAGTCCTTTGTTTCAGGAAAATATGAACTCTACCTGTACATGGAGACACAGGGTTCTCTGGTCTCCTCCCTTAGTTAATCCAGTTGTACAGGTCAGTCAGCTAAACAAGAGACCACCTCACACCTCTCAGGAGGTCGGGTCCACCTCATGTCATGCTAAAGAGAAAGAAGTGTAACGATAACTCTTTCTGCCAGCTGCCTGAGTTCTGCTACCCCCAAATAACACACAGAGTCTTATATTAGTTACAAATGTTGCTGGCCAATGACTAGGATTTCTTAGTTGCTAGCTATGTCTTAAGTATCAACCATAACCATTAATCTATATATTTTAAAAAGACTTATCTTATTGAGGATGCCGGAGGCAAGCATCCTGTCTTCCCAGGCTCTCATGGCGACTCTGTCTTTACTACATTTCCCAGAAACCTCCTCCTCTCCTAGTCCTGCCTATCTTGCTTTCCTATTGGCCAACAGTGCTTTCTTCATCAACCAATAAGACAAACATATACACAGAAGGACCTCTCCCATCAAAGGAGGAATACTTGCCCTTTGCCATAATGTACTTTTCCTTCCCAGAATCCCTAGAACAGTGGTTTAGTCACCACCAGGCAGCTTTGTAACTCTGCCCACTTCTCTGAATTACTCACAAAGGTAACTTTTCTTTTCCACTCTTCATTTTCTAAGCACCATTTCCCTAAAACATGAAGCCCTTTCACCCTGTGTATCCAGCCCCTCTCACTGCAGGGTGGCCCTTTGTCCAGTCTGTGACTGACCTCCATGTCAGCTTAATTCAGATGGCATTGCTTCCTCTCTTCCTGTTCTCCCTCTGCTTCCTCCGGGCAGCTGCTGAGGTTTTCCTTCTGAACGCTAATAAAATTATCTGTGAGCTTCTGTTTAGCCCATTCATACTTTAATTAAAAAGACCAAGAACTCCAGTAAGAGACACCCAACTTCTCCAGCAACATGCACTGATCCTGGGGAGGGGGGACTCCCCAAAATTTCCAGTCTCATTCTCAACCCCTTCCTCTCACAAGCTCTCCACCCCCACTTCTTTGATGTATAGATACTTGGTGAAATGTCTTCCTCCACAGGGACATTCTAAGCCTCCAAGAATCAGATCTGATGAAAACACATGAAGGGCTGGGCAGTACTTTTGAAACTTACTGTGTATTAGAGGTTATTATGAATCTCTATTGAATTTACCATTATTTTGAAAGCCTTGACTGTGTTTCTCCTAGCCAGACACTTTTAAAGTGAAAATTAATGAAACTCTTTTCACTAACAACCAGGGGAAATAAACAGGCAGTGAGGGCTCTGTGAATGTGCAGCAAAGATGATGGGGATGGGATCTCAGCTGGGCAGAGGGTGGCACTCAAGTAGGAAGGGCGATTGATCACTTATTCTTTTCTGTGGCAAAGTGGCAGGGTTTCTGCTGCCTCTCCATTTACCATCTGTGTGCCTTTGTGCAGGGCACATTTCTGTTTGCATGTCATAAGGTTTTCAATAGTTTGCATCGTGCCATAGTATTTTTCTACTTTATCTCTGCTCATGGGAGTACTTGGGTGACTCGGACAGGACTGATCCATTAGTTTGACTACACTACCATGCTCCAGCTTAAATCTTTGCAATGTGTTGTCCCCGGAGTGAATGTTTGCAAAGTTTAGTGCCAGCTCATGTCTCCTTAGGCTTATACCATATTCTTACCAAGGGGGTGACTTGGAAGTGCAGGAATGTTCCTTGTATACTACCCACAGACACTTGCTACCACTGGGAACTTGGTTCCTACAAATATGAGGTCTGGTGTCATTTCCCAGTCCTAATGAAATCAGACATCTTTTCACTTTTCTGTGTGTGCCCAGTGTTTAACGACCCTGTGTATTTCAAGATTCTTCATGTCCTCTAACAACCCTGCTAGTCTAAATGCTATGCAAGTTATTAGGTTTAAATTTCATGGTAACTATGTTCACCAATGGCTATTTTTAACACCTCAAAATGACAACAATGTATTTTAATTCTACATTACCAAAAAGCTGGTCACTTTGAAATCATCTGCATAGATGTTTGCTATTCGGATTTATTTGCAATAGATTGATTTATGTTGCAATCTATTATTAAGGAAAGAAAACCAATAAATAATACTGCAGTTTTTCAGTGACACTTACTGTTTGGGGACACAAAAATAATTCAACCACAAAAAATAACTTAAATTTAAAAAAGATATTACTATTTGTGAAAAACAGCTTTATTGTGTAGATGGGTATTCATGAAAACCAAACCCTTTGCTGTATTGCTTTTCTTCTCAAGTCCTCCCTCCTTGTGTGGAGGAAGCCACTCACCCTAGCATTTCCCTCTCCAAAGTACACTAGCTCACATCTGCTTCAAGAGACAAGACTCATCCTGAAATCGCTTTTTTGGGTTTTCTGGGGCCTGAGAAGAAAATCACATTAACTCTATCTCCTCCAGACTGTCCCTTCTATCTCCGTGTCTTGCTCCTTTCCTTTCTTCCTCTGTTTTTTGTATAGTATAGTTTTTAATGACCTGATACTTTTTGTTTTTACCTTCTCATCTATTTCACCAAAACACGGCTTCAAGAAACCAGGACTCTTGAGTCTTCCAAATCCACAGAACAGCAGCAAGATGCCAGTACACAATAAATGCAATTTTAATGTTAGATCAAGTTTGTAGAAGGCACGTATTTTAGATAAGTTAGTCCATCCGATGCTAAGAAAGCACATCAGTGAAGTCCAGATGATGAACATAACTTTTATGGCTGTTAACAATTCACTTTCTGTAGTTCGTGCCACAGACACAAGTTTCTAAGTTGAAGGTGGTTTTTTTGGTACAACTAATTGATGGGGATGGGGTTGTGAATTACAGACAGCATGTGCTCTGTATATGGCAACAAGTGAGTGGAAATAGAGTTGGCCACAACCATTAGCCTGCCAGGTGTCTCAGAGGTGGTATTAGCCAACAGTGACACCTTTGTTTTCCCCTTTCACTATTTAAAGGGAGTTTTTATAAAGCAAGTATGTTATGATCCAATCATGTTCCCTTGCTCAGTTATCAATTCTGTTACTTAGAACTGACATCTGGAGCTATTCATATTACAACTCAAGTAAGAGACGCTTTAAATTTTTCACTTTGCACAAAAGAAATCATTTCCCCCAAAGTCTATAAAACGTTTATTTGTTTTTAAATTTCACTGTTTCTGATATCTGTTGTCTTAAACCAAGTGATCTCACCAGACCCGGCACTGACTTGGCACAGAAGATTTTAATTTCCTTTTATTTAGTTTCTATTTTGCTTCTTTTCCCCCATAGTTTTTCGATGTCTAGATAATTTTCTACAGTGAAGCAGTTGTATGCTTTCTCCTGCTCAACTTTAAGCAGTTGGGACCCCAGCGACACTGCCCACTGCCTGCTGGGGAGTCTCTTTGGCTTGGTGGGCTTGCAGCACAGCTATGGCTTCATCAATTTTGGTGTGGAGACACTCTGGAGACTCAAGCATGTGACGTAATTCTAAATTATCAATCTCCAACAGCATGCCAGTGATTTTACCAGCTAGAGCAGGGTGCATGGCTTGAATAAGGGAAAACAGCCATTCCCCTAACATTTGCTTTTGCGCTTGAGGGGAAGCAGATGCCAGCATTGAGGCGGTCAAAGATGCTTTACCTTGAACAGGAACAGCAGACCTCTGCATGGTGACTTGTGGCTGTGCACTAAGATGCTGAGGGGGATTCCGGACTCCAGCAGTATATTTATACTGGGGAACGGGGCGGGCTGTGGGATGTGAGCCCATCATCTGTGTGGATGCACTGCCAGCACGATGTGTTGACATACTCCGTAGAGCCTGTGAGGAAGCTGGTCCTGAAGTACTAAACGATGGGATAGTAGCTGGCTGGATGGCACTAGACATATTTTGGAACGGATGAGCTCTGGCACCCTGAGCACTCCCACGGTGACCTGGTCCCTGCTGAGTAGTTTGGTTAGGAGCATAGTATGCTCCACAGTTCTGAGTCTGTGACGTAGTTGTCATGAAGTAGCCTGAAGGAGCCTGTGCTGGCTGGAAAGGGTTGATGACCGGGCTGGACACAGCACTGGTGCTTGCCATTCTTTGCATATACTGATTACTGAGGTGAGCCTGGCGCTCCTCTTTGCGTTGGGCTAAGGCTACATAGAGTGGTTTGGTGGCCACAATTCTACCATTCATTTCTGTAACTGCTTTAGTGGCTTCTTCCGGAGAGGAGAAACATACAAAACCAAATCCTTTGCTGCGACCACCCTCCATGGTAACCTTGGCGCTCGTGATAGTGCCAAATGGAGAAAACTCCTTCCGGAGACGCTCGTCATCAATACCATCATCGAGATTTTTCACATAAAGATTAACACCTTGGCACCTGACGCTGATATCTTGGGGTACCTGTTCAACCTTGTGCTTATCTTGCTTCATCTGTCCAAATTTGTGCTTCAGTTCAGTCTGTCGTTCCACTTTTTTCTGAGCCCGACCAACATAAATTTGCTTTCCGTTGAGGTCTTTTCCGTTCATCTCATCCACGGCCTTCCGTGCATCTTCATGCCTTTCAAAGCTTACGAACCCAAATCCTTTGGATTTCCCGCTTTCGTCAGTCATGACTTTGACACTTAAGGCAGGCCCAAATTTGCTGAAGAGACCCTGGAGTCGCTCATCATCCATATCTTCTCCCAAATTCTTGATGTAAACATTGGTAAACTCTTTAGCCCGGGCTCCAAGTTCAGCCTGCCTGTCTCTACGAGACTTAAACCGGCCAACAAACACCTTGCGATCGTTGAGGAACATCCCGTTCATTTTCTCAATGGCTCGTTCGGCTTCCTCCTGCGTCTCAAAGTGCACAAACCCGTAGCCCTTGGAGCCGTTCTCATCACACACCACCTTACACGAGAGGATGTTGCCGAAGGCGGAGAAGGTGTCGTACAGCGCTTTGCTGTCGATGGACCTGTCCAGGTTTTTGACGAAGATGTTACCGACCCCGCTTTTGCGCAGCGACGGGTCCCGCTGAGACCACATGATGCGGACAGGCTTGCCCTTGATCACATCGAAGTTCATGGTGTCCAAGGCCCGCTCGGCGTCCTCCAGCTGCTGGAAGTTGACAGACGCATAGCCCAGCGAGCGCCGGGTGGTCCTGTCCCTGTAGACCCGGATGGAGAGGATGGGCCCGGCAGAACTGAACTTCTCATAGAGCATCGCCTCGGTCACATCAGGGTGCAGGTCCCCCACATAGAGTGAAGCCAAGGAGTAGCTGGGGTCGCTGGGGTTCATGTTGACACCAGGCTGGGCACCGAGAGGGACTAGCACAGGAACAGAAGGCAACCGGAATGGAAAGCGCCTCAACGGCCTGGAACTCAGCAGCCCACGCACGGGCGAGTAACTTCCGGTTGGGAGCGAGGCTGTGGTGCCTTAAAAGGCCCGGTCCGGGTGGAAACAGACCTCTACATCTGGGTTCCAGACACTGGTACCTGGTTGGTTCTGCCTGGTCTCCCGTTACGGAACCAAAGTATTTGATGGAAAAGATGTGGATTTAAGGATTTCCTATTTTTTTCTTTTCTTTATTTAAACGGTGTGTCTGGGGGGGGGTGATAATAAACGTTTGCTCTGAGTTTAAAATGTGTATTTTGTGTGTTATGCACAGGTTTCAGGGGATGTAAGGACGCTTTGAAGGGAGCTACTGAACTCCTGAGATCAAGAAAGAGTCCAAGGTCACAATGTCTCCATTAATAACACCATTTAGTATATTCTAGCTCAGTGTAGAAGGTTGATAACAGACGAATGCAAACATAAAGAGAAGGTGGGGGAGAAGAGGAAACATCCACTTTGAGGAAGTTTTCCATTCATATTGCTAAAAAAAAACTTCCAAGACAAATGTTTTTGAGAGCTTAGAAATTACTTAGTGAGTGGGGGAGCAGAGGGGAGGTAGGGGAGGGACTGGGAGGAAAGGAGGGAGGGGAAATGAATACTACTAATACTGATGCTAATAGAATTATTTAAAAAGAAATTAATCAGACTGGAAGTCCCCATCCCAGTCAGTGCACTATACTATAGGAAATTATAGAGTAAGAACAAACTCTTGGGAGTCTGAGATCAAGATGTTAGAGTGTGTTCAGTGTGTGTGTGTGGCGGGGGGGGGGGGGGGGTTGTTCTCTGGAACACAGGTGACAGCCCACTACAAACTCAAATGGTAGAAAAGAGGAGAAAGACTTTCTGGAGGCTGTTGAGGAAGACAATATTCACCCCAAAGTCAAAACTTCAGTGATTAGATTTCACTATATAAATTTCAAGGTGAAAAGAACATTTGGAACACAACGATCTCTCACAGTTTGGCTGCTTTACTTATGGGTTTTTTTTTTTAGCATACAAAAAAAAAAAGTAGTCTCCTGTTAAGGTGTTTCACATTAGTGCCATCAAAAATATGAAGATAATGTACCATAGGCTCAAACTTCATACTTCAGTCTAATTAAAAACCTTATAATTTAGAGAGCTATGAATTGACTCTCTGTTGGCAGATACTTTATTCCAGATGCAACTAATTAGTAATAGGAAGATAGTGGCTTGGGGATGTTTATGTTATGTGGTGGGGAGGTATAGCTAATCAGCTACCAAGGGCATAGCTCTAGGAGAAGGGAGGATGTGTGAAGAGCGCCCCACCCTCATGCAAAGCATCTCCTCCATCCCTTAGTGGGAGCATTTATTATTATCATCAGTGCATTTGTGTGTTAATAGATACTGTTTACACTTTCCAAAAATGTTTTATATGCACAATGGCATGATATGTCTTCAATGCCACCAGTAACACCACATGTTTCTTAACTGAATTTCTGAGAAGCCAAGGTACTCAAAGAAGGTCATTTTTGTTTGCCAACTATAAATTATAACTTACTGTTCCATTACCCCTTATGATCTTTTCCTGAATGTACATTTTGTTGCCAATTCAATTCATAATAAATTAGAATCTCTCCAAAAAACTAAAGTATTATAAAAGCTTAAATGTTAACTTATATTCTCTATGTCATCAATATCAGCTGGGTTCAGGGCTATTCACTGCCCCTTTCTCGTGCTTCCTGGGCAGCTGCTCCATCGATCAAAAAACCACATACTCAGCCCTTAATTATCAGGCTTTTTCACAGTGGATAGTTCATATACATTTCAGAAGCCCTTGTTCCATGCAACCAAATTTTCAATTGTGAAATGCTTGTTGGTTATAACATATAAAAACAAAGTTGATCTACAGATGTTGTCTACAAAGACACCTTTTTTTTTCCCTTGTAAACTGTATTCTTTGAGGGTCCCCTTCTATAACATGGAACAAACTCAGTTCAGACACCAAGGCCTGTGAAATCGCCAATGGAATAAATAATTTATACACAAGTAATATTGTCACCAAAGAAGGATTGTAGACCAAACTGGCTAAGAACAAGCTGTCATATAGAATTCACTAGGTCAATTTTCTCTTCGAATGAACAACAAAAAAGTATTTTGGTTCATACAAAGAAAGAAACAAAAAGAAATCCCAACAAAAAACCCTCCCAGACCCAAGGCCAAGCATTTGTTTTGATTGCTCCAAATGCTCCCTGTGCTTCTGAGGATTCTGCATACTCCACAGACTCAGTGTGCTCATGTACTCCACATGGAACTTGTCCTGTTGTTTCTTTTTAAACACTTTCATCTTACAGATTGAGAACCTGAAAAAAAAAAAAACCTCCAAACAAGCCAGTAACATCACCTTTTCTAACATTCCTAAGTGATAAACTGAAGACATTTAATATGTTGTTTTAGCTAGCTGTGTTTTAGAAAATAAAATAAAATGACTGCATGGAGACAATTACAGTCAAATTAAGGGAGACAGGTATTATATTATTTAAATGTGCAATTTAAAACCACATATTGAGAGTTATGGCCCATTAATGTAAATTATTTCACAGTGAAAAATATCTAATTATCTCTCCCAGATAAGAGATATAAATGTAAATGCTTCAACCCAATCATAATAACCTGAAGAGCGAAGGGCTGCACAATCGGATGCTAAGAATGCACCCAAAGTTGAATTGTCTGTGAAATTTGCCTGCATGTCTCTGGTGCGCTATTTCTTGATGGTTTTCTTACAAAACGAGGTAAGAAAAATGTATTAGCTTTTTTCCCATATTGGAATTGCATTTTTATATGAGCAATTATTTGGTGTGGTAAGTGATGACATTAACTTTAAAAAAAATACTCAGCTATCATGGTTCTCAGTAAAACACATCTGTACCACTTAGTGTACATAAATTAATGGAAGAAATGTTTTGCCTACAGATTCAGGTAGTAACTAATAACCTATAGTTAAATGTGAGTCGAACACTGTAGGCATTAAAATATTGAAGATTTTAAATATATGCTGAAATGGTTCTGTAATACAAGGAATGTTCCTAAAGCCCTTGGAAGTGTGCCTTGTCATAAAGGTTTGTTTACTGGACATATTTAGACTAGGGGGCTATACTTATGTTTCTACTTAGACAAAGCTGGGTTCTGTTGTTAAAGCAACAAAACCCAGGATCAGGGATGTTGAAGCTTGGGTATGCTGTTTGGTTATAAACCATTGGTTTACCAAATGAAGAGCCTAAAAGCAGGGTGTTCTGATTTGCTTTATTGGTCAAGTTGACACATCCCAGAATCATCTGAGAAGAGTCTCAGTAAAGGATTGCTGTCTTCATTGGTCTGTGGGGAATTGTCATAATTAAGTTGATTATGTGGGACAACCCAGTCCACTGCAGGTAGCACCACTACCTAGGTCCCAAGCTATAAAATAGTGAAGAAACAGTTGAACAGAAGCAGAGAGTGAACATATATGCATCCATTTCTTTATGCTCTTAACTGCAGATATAATGTGACTGCCTCCTTGAAGTTCCTGTCATTGATTCCACCATAATAATAAACTGTATTTGGAACTGTGAGTGCAAATAAACAATTTCTCCCCTAGGTTGCTTTTCATCAAGGTGTTTTATTAGAGCAACAGAAATGAAGCTAGGGTACAATGGTTTCTGTTATCAAGAGAATAGAATAAATAGTTCCTTCCACAGAATAAATTGTTTCACTCACCCTTCCCTTCCATCTAAGGTTAATTATTCCACAATAATGAAATGAATGACATAACATCATCTTTGATGTGCTTTATAATTTTTCCATTGGCTTCAGTTTAATACAAAGGCTGTGGATTTATTTGGCAGGAACATGCTGCTTCATACATGACTAAATTATTAGAGATCCTTCTGGTAGCAAGAAGACTGTGCCTTGGGGTAAGTATGTTTTAAGAATAGATGAGAGAAAATACCACCTCACACTTTACCTATATAGCTAAAGCCAACATGAATGTCATATCCATTGGCCACATGAAAACTAGAACATGCTAGGGGGCATGGGATGCCATCTCAAGACACTGGTAATTTGGAAATGACATCACTGACACTTGCACTTCTGGCTAGAGTTCCTGGTGCTGGAAGGTGCTATACTGGAGAGATAGCATCAGTCTTACCCAGCTATAGACACTGAGAGTTACAACAGTGGCCTTCCTGGAAGATATGCCAACGCATACACTAAGGCCAAGAGTACTAAGAGTAACCATTCTTTTTTATTAGGTTTAAGGACAGCTCCATTAAATGGGACCCATACCTGAAACAGTCAATGAGGCTAGATAGATCATGAACCCTAGTGGGAAAGCTACCTACCATAATTCTGCTAAATGGAAATATCAGCACAATGACCCCTTATGGCATACTATTATACTTATAGAACAGCACATCACTCATCCCTCATCAGAGAAGCTTCTTCTTGGAGTAAATGGTAATTAAGATGAGACTCACAACTGCACAACATGCAGAGAATAAAAGATCATGGAATGTTCAGCCCTAAATGGGATGCCTGCATCATACACGTCCCCAAAGCTCCAGGATGTATATGCAGAAGTGTAGAAAGATGGTAGGAGTCAGAAAATGTGGCTGATGTCAAGGAAACATTTTCCAGACACACAGGCAGCTGCACATATATTAAGTCACAGAGATGGTGACAACACGTACAGGTCCTGCACAAACTGAATCCCGACAAAAATCTGAGCATGGAAGATGGGAAGTAGGCACAAAGCTTCACCCCTACATAAGGAGATAATGGCCTTTGATTGCTGCTGGTAGCAGAACAAGTTCGCTTCAAGGGTAGCAACCACACTCCAGAGCATGTTGTATGCTCAGGAGTAGTTGGCCAACACAAACTTCACTCCATGTCTGTCTGTTTTGAGA